TGCCCTCAATTTTCTGGGTAAGGACAGCCCCTAATCCAACATCACTAGCATCATCATTTTCACCAACATCATTTTGACAGTCTGCAGACCATTCCCAACACACACCTTTCTTTTTTAGGTTGTTCAGTGGAGCAGACATGTCAGCCAGGTTAGGGATAAACTTATGATACCAGCCTACCAAACCTAAGAGTCGGGTACCTGCAAATGGCTGCCACCTTTTCAGGGTCTACTTCAACCCCTCGACCCGACACCACATGTCCCAGGAAGGTGATTTGCGTCTGGAAAAGGTGACATTTTTTTATGTTGAGAGTTAGTCGGGCCTGATGTAATTTGCTGAAGACCGCATCCAAGTGTTGGAGGTGTTGATCCAGAGTCTGTGAGAATACAATAATGTCACAGATGTAGACAAAACATATTTTCCCTTTCAGCTCTCCCAACACTTGTTCCATCAACCTCTGGAATGTGGCGCCAGCATTCTTGAGGCCAAAGGGCATATCTTTAATATGGTATAACCCTTGTGGGGTGATGACTGCTGTCTTCACCTTACTCTCTTCATCCATAGCCACCTGCCAGTAGCCACTCTGCAAATACAGTGTGCTAAAACAGGCAGCATTCTGCATTGACTCTAGGATCTCATGCACCAGGGGCATAGGGTAGGCATCATGAAATGTCGGAATGAAAACGGAATGAACTATCCAGCTTTGGGACTAAAACCACAGGAGCGGCCCAGGAGGAGGAAGAGGGTTCGATTATGTCTTCTTTTAACATCTTTTGGATGTGTTCTTTTATGACGTCCTACTTTTGGATGGACGTTAAGTAGGCTCTTCTCCTCACAGGAACCTCATCTGTGGTGATAATATGGTGTTTTACCACCATAGTGGATCCCAACCTCTCAATCCAGACTGTTGACCACTTCTGCAGCATTGGTCGTACCACCTCTGGTTGAGAGTTGCTAAAGATGTTAGCTTGCAGTTCTGTCCTCTCCATGGCCACATAGAAGTGGATTCTACCCCCCCTGTCTGTCCAGCTGAGCGCCGTTCTAGATTTTGCAAGGAACTGATGGGATTTCCCGTTCGGCATGGTGTATTTGCCCAGGTGTGGCTGAAGGGACATTTTGCTGCTGATTAGAAAGTCTAGACCAAGCAAGAGCAGCATGTACAGGCTGTCATCTTTCAGGACATACACATCAAGTTTGTAGGACACATCATAGAGCTTGAGAACTAGAAATTTGCCCACTGCTTTGCTCACTTGCCCATCTGCCATAATAAATGCCTGATTTTCACAGCACAACAAATCCTCACAGGCGTTGAGAATCCTCCGCACCATCTTCTCCTCTGGCATTTCTGGGCGCCACTTCAAGCAAAGTGCTCTGTAGTCATAAGCAAAATCTCTTAGCCGCTGGTTTGGGGCTTGCACCATGGCTGCTCCTCGATTTCTGCAGTATAATCTTCTGACAGAAAAGCTTCCAAAAAGGCAGTTTTGAACATGGGCCAGTTTTTAATTTAGATTTTTGTGGCCTGCCACCAACTTCGAGCTGGACCCTGTAATACAGCATTGAGTGTTCCCAGCAGCTCCTGATCACTCAGCAGCTGAAGAGTCAGGAAGTTTTCACACTGCTCAATGAAGTTAGTGACATCCGATGAGCTTGTGGATTCACCAAACTTGATGGTGATACAGACGGTGGACACGGGAATGATTTCACAGCAGGTGTGGATGTTGTGAGGGGCTTTAAAAGCTTCCGAGAGCTTCTGCATGAGGTTTCTCTTAATTTTTCCTCCCACACACGATCACGACGATGGAGACAGTCAACAATTGTGCAGTCAAGATGGCTAAAACTTTCATCTACATACTCCTTCATGTTGACGGACAGTTTGTTGATCATTTCTCTTAGCCCTTCTTCCCTACTGAGGGAGGAATCAACCACATCTTTAAGTCATCGTTCTAATGCTTCTACTCTCTCAGCGAGTCTCTCTCCCAACAAACCAAGCTTATTGCTAACATCATCATCATCATCTCCATGTTAGGCAACAGATGGTTTCAGATTATCCAAATATAATTGTTCAAGCAGGCTAGAAACCTCAGTGATATCCCCACGTTGCTGCCTCTGTGCTATGTGCTGGGGGGGTCTGTTTTGTTCTTCAGCCACCTCCATTTTGTGAAAAGGAGGGCCTTGAATATCCTAGGTGTACCAATATATGAAGATATGTAAGTGTATATGATTGAGATTAATAGCTGTGCGAGTCCATGGTTGCTCCTTTGTCCAACTCTGTTTAGTGTCCGTTGAAAAAAAGACACCAACAGCAAAGGTTGTGCGCACAACTGCAAACAGTGAACAAAAAAAGCAGAGAAAATAGATCCAAAGGAGAAATTGCGCACACTCATTCACCATGCCGTCTATTCTCTCTCCCGCCATGTTCTCCCTTCCTCGTTTTCTTTTTGACTCTATCCTCTGATTGGACGATTGTTGTATTGTTGTATGGCTGATTGTCCCATGACATAGTGAGTATAACAGGGTACTTAAAGTTCATAGAAAAAAGCTCAGAATTGCCCTCTTTCCCACAGGTAACTCATTATTAACACTCTTATCTATATAACAAATAACAAAACAAATTTAAATGTGCAAGAGGAATGTAAAATGGTATAAACAGAACCTCTGTTTCCTTTACAAAAAGTCCTGCAAGCCTCCACTAGGTTTTCTCCATTTGAATAACTGTAAGGGCAGAAGGCCCAGAACATCCATTTGTGAGTACTGGAAGGAGGGATTTTGGAGAAGCAGCAATGAAATTCAGTACTTTCTGGACCTGAACCCAAAACATCATATATTGAGTAAGAAAGTGCAGAAGAACTTGCTCCAGGCCCAGGAACATCAGCCCTGAAAGAATAGGTGCACTCAGCTTACACTGGAACTTTATATTCAGCACATCAAGCTCCAAATTGCTTGACAAGTAGCTCAAGCCATTTGAAGTCACATAGCAAGTTGGAGGGCTTTTTAAAGTTCTGTGATTCACTCATGCTCTTTGTAAGTTCCCACTTGGGTCCCTAGTCAGAGTGCCATAGGCTCAAAGCCACATTGGTAGGGAATGTGGATCTGGGAAGGATTTGGAAGCATTCCCTGATTGCCAATGTGGGTGACTGTTTAAAACTTTAGTCTTTTTATTTGGCCAAATATTGTTCTTTAAAAAATCTTGCTGAGGGGTTCACAAAAAATGCAACCCACAGCCCTACAGAGGATCCACTGGTCCGCTTTCTTTGGGTGCTTAAAAGCAAGCTCTGTCAGCCAGCAAACAGCATGCAACTATAGGAGTGGACTGAGTCCCAGGGCTGGTCAAATGGGGAGAAGAGACTCCAGAGCTGAGGATTAGTGTTCAAAGCCTTGGCATTACATGTATGATTGCTGTTTCTCCAGTCCACTTTACGTGCTGCTATATTGCCACAGAGGACTCTCAATTGGAGGATACCTGACAAGCTCCTATGCCATCCTTGCATTTCCCTCCTGTGCTACCTCTCCATCTAATGAGGCCAACTGTCTCTGTCCCACCAGCCTAGATACATAGTGTCCTTTGTAGTGGGACAAAAAACAAGCAGGCATTGTGAGAAATTATGCCATCTTTTTAAAGACTGCTGCTCTAAAGATCTCAAGGTAGACAAGAGAGTCTTTTAATTTGTTCTTTTTGTTTCTCCCTCACTATCTTACCTCGAGTTGCCATGGCTGGAGGAGCTGTTCCAGAGTCACAGATAGAGATTAAGCTATGGTTTACTCAGGCCTTCTTCAAAAAAATGTAGAAATTTTAGTAAGATGTGTCCATAATGGAAGATGGAGCTAATTAATTAAATATTGCTCGAGAATATTTGACATTGATTAAAACAAGTAAAACTGCAATAGAAATAATTGTTGTGTTACTCTATATTAAACAAAAATGATAATAATTTAAAACAATTAAATTTAAAAGGTAGAATAGGTAGAATTTTAAAAGGTAGAATATATATGATCATGATTACACCAAGCAACACTAGTAAAAAAAATAATAAAATAAAAAAAAAAGCTTATTCAGGCTCCATCCATGAATCAGTTGTTTTGCAAATGGTGCAGGGTTGGACAGGGATGGTGGCACAAATCTCACTTAACCTAAGGGAGAACTGTACTGCAAAAATCAATTTAAACTGAAAACTTTGTGTTATATACTGACTCTAAAATGTTCCATAATTCCTCATAAGGTTGAATAGCATTTTTGCCAACATTCTGTAAAGCTTGCTCCACCACCTGCCACAAAAGAATGAATTTGTAAAGGGAGGATGTCAACTAGACAAGCAGCATTTACAGACAAATATAAACAGTGTAGCCTATAGGATAAGATAATCAGTTTAGTAGACACAGATGATTGGAACATTAACTAAAGCTTTAGTGTAAGTAGATTACTCTCAGATAACTAGTTAACATTATATAGCTATAAATACTTTGAAGTGACAAGAACATAACATAGTTTGCAAGTCATTCTGTCCAAAAAACATGACTCAAACATCATTGTGACTTTAACCATGGCAAGTCAAAAGAAAATCTTGGCAATGTAATTCATTAAAATTAATCAAAAATAGATTAAGAAGATATTAACTTTTTTTTTAAACTCATGACTGACATGGAAGCAGGATTATTACTATACGATTCATGCTACTTTTTAGATGTATTCACTTGTGTAGATAAAAAAAATAATAAAAATGAAAAATAATATTTAAAATGTTGTGAGAAAGAAAAGGACACAAAAAGAACATCATTTAAATGTGAATCAACACTTAATTATTAAAATTAAAATTATCACTATGCAAAATGAACTACAACAGGCTCCACCTCTATCCCTTAGAACTACGTTTTTACAAAGACTATAAATACATGATGAATGTGATACTAAGCCTTGTGCTCCCTGCATCTGTTGTGTGATTTTATTTTTTACAGGTTTTGTTCTACAGTGGTTGACTTGTATAATCTTAATACTTTGTTTCCAAAAATGCAGAGTTTTGTTGTTAACAGTAGCTCAAGCAATAATCTTTTAACAGAATCGTCAAGTTCTTTATTTATGAAGCTGACATTGGTGCAGGTTCTGGTGGGGATTTTCCTCTGTGTAAACTGTCTGATGATATTCACCTTTCTGAAAAAGGAGGTGTTCAGGGAGGACACTCGCTACATTTTGTTTGCACAAACCCTATTTGTTGACTCTACACTCTTGATTTTATCTGATATGCTGATGGTTGGGACTGCTTACCAGTACCACATACACATGATTCCTTGCATGATTGTGCTGTCAGTTGCAACTATTTTTACAGTTTGTACTCCACTGACTCTTGTGGCAATGTGTCTGGAGCGCTATGTTGCTATATGCATGCCTTTAAGACATGCTGACATCTCCACCCGCAGAAACAGATTCTTTGGGTTTCTGATTATATGGGGTATCAGCTCCATAGTTCCACTGATCACTTTGATAGCATATTTATTTGTAGTTCCTCCTGGTGCTCTGTTCTCCTATACTGTGTGTAATGCAGAATTTATGATGGGGGAAGAGTGGCAGGCACACACACGTGGTACAGTTTTGCAGCTCATTTTCTTATTTATGATCTTCATCATTGTCTTCACTTATATCAAGATAATGATTGCAGCCAGAGCCGCCTCCTCTGAGAATAAGAAATCAACCAGCAAGAGTCTCAGAACTGTGCTACTTCATGCCTTTCAGCTGTTTCTGTGTATAGTTCAGTTTTCAATCCCATATATAGAAATGGCATTTTGGAACATTGATATCATAACGTTTAATAATATAAGATATTCAAATTTAATCCTGTTTGTTATTGCACCACGTTGTCTTAGTCCATTGATTTATGGTCTCAGAGATGAAAAGTTTTTCCTTGCTTTAAGACATAATGCTATGTGTGGTTTGACAGCCTTTTCTCAGCATTATTCAGTGAATGGAAAATAAGACCAGCCAAACAAAAAATATAACAGCTTTTATCAGCAGCTCAGTATCACAGTTTATTCACTGTGCTTTCTAACTAATTGATGACAATTATTGAATCAGTGTATGTGAATCAGAAAAAGGATAAACTGATCACTTGCCTCAAACATCAGTTAAAGAAATGGGATTCTGAATTAATTTACTAGACTTCAAGTTAAACCTTTTTTGTGTAACTTGCAGTCTAGTGTGTGCATTTAAAACAAAAATGAGACCCACCCAGCTAGTTGATTTTGAATAGCATGACTATTTGAATTGAAAATAATTATATATAACTGTCCAGCATATAGATTTCATGACAATTTAAGTTTTACCAAAAGCATTTTGTTCTAAGTGTGTAATTGTTTGAAAATGTATGTTTGCCGCATTTCCGCATTTTGTTTGTTCCTTTAAAATAAATTTTTGATGTGGAGGATCATAGATGACTGTTTTTCTTGGTCACCACGTGTAACTATGATCAATTTTACAAAATTGTGTACAAAATTCAAAAAAAGAAGAAATGAAACAGAGAGAAAAAAAATAAGAAAATGTGTAGCTTGATGTATATTTTAACACCTGAATATATGTAATGTGCAGTAACTTGTTGATCTCTAGCAGGATTCAGACAGGAACTAACTCTTCTAGAGCTGCAGTGGCTGGAAAAAGGGAGAGAGAGAGAAAGAGAAAGAGATACACACACACACACACACACACACACACACACACACACACACACACCAGCCACTGAATATACAGTGGTGCATAACAGTAGCTTAAACAATAACCTGTTGATTTTTTTTTTTGTTTTAAAGCAGAAGGTTATGTTGGTGCATTCTAGTGGAGATTTTTCTCTGTGCAAACTGTCTGATGGCTTTCACCTACCTAAAAATAAGAGCACTCATTACATTTTGTTTGCACAGACAATTTATAACCAATTAGATCATCCTTTCATGGTGTTGACCACGGCACAGTCGATGTGGAATAATTACCTGTAGCATGTTACTACTATATAGTTTATCAACATGGTTGGAGCAATATTTTGGTATATGCTTGCATTTAAGACATGCTGACATCTCTATCAGCAGGATCAGAGTCTTTGGATTCCTTATCACATGGGGTATCGGCTCCACAGTTCTACTGCTCACTTTAGTAACATATCACTGTGATCAGTTCTGATGCTCTGTCGTCCTTTGCTGCATAGGATATAGAAAATGTTAGGAGAAGAGTGCCAGACACAAACATATGCTACAATCTTGCAGCTCCTTTTTCTCTTCATGATCAATTTTATTTATATCAGGAGAATTTCTGCATTTTCTAAAGTAATGTTTAAATTTAACATGTTCAAAATGTATCTTTATTTTTGCACCATGTAATTTAGGTCCACTGTTTTATGGATTAAAAGATTTTCCATCACTCCATGCAGTGGTCTTGACAGCTGGATCACAACACAAAATCAAACAAAGGAGGATGCAATGTATTGAAGCAGAAGATTGTTAGAAATGTATCATTTTATTGTTAGTTTTCAGTGTGCTTTCAGGGAGCTGCACCAAATCAGCTGCAAAACAGAGAGCCAAATCCAAATGGGCAAATATGCAGGAAGCTGAACCAAGAACTGATTCTGCAGTAGTGAGTGGAGCTAAATCTGAAACTGAATTGAGAAGTTAAGTCGTAAACGGAAGTGGAAAGCATTTGAATCAGTGATAGAGACTAAACCAAAATCAGGGACAAGCACAGGACCTGCCAAAGTCTAGGTTACTTTTGTGAAAGTGACATGCAGTTGTAAGCAGTTATGGCTGTTGTACAGTATAGTCAGTATATCTGTTTCAGTAAATATACATTTATCATTGTTGTGATTAAATTTATATACAGAGCTATACTCTATGGACTTTAAACAGGATGAGGATGGTAGATCAAGTTGGTAATACACAATGCAACATATTTCAATGTCCATGTGTATCTAGATTCATGAAAGATTTACGAAGACAACAAGTTATTTGAGGTGATTTTAGAGGACATCATGACAGCATAAGAACAAAGATCTACTAAAGCTACATAAACAGTTTGGACATGTTTTATGTGGATAGACTAAAATCTGCTGGCCTGCTCTGCTACTGACGACCATGAATTCATTTCAGTTCTCAATGAAATAGTAAACCACGTTGACACATATATCAGTTACAGCAGACTCATAGCCCAGTGGGCTGCCTTTGGCCTCAAGTTATAATGAAACAGTGGCAGTGTATGGAAAATGAGTCAGTGACTGCACTTGTGTTTTGTGACTGACAGCCTTCCATATCTGCATGTTTTTCTTTTAGTAGGCTGTTAGAGATGATAGAGAGAGGATCCATTAACCACAGACCTCAGAGACAAAAGATGATCAGTAAAGTTTGAGTGTGAAACTTATTTTGTTTTATTGAAGCTGAAAAGCACCATTCTAAGTAAAAGTGCAATAGTTTTATTTTTAACCACACTTGTCTCTTGTGCCCTTCCTCTGCCCAGCCAAGGATGTTACACTGGTGTCCAAACCTAAAAAAGATGCTAATAAGCTGCAATGGAGTCATCCCTATTTGGAGAAGTAGCCAGCTTAGACCAGACCCAACACTGGGGCCTCCTTGACCTTCAGTGGGAACAGACACAGCAGTTTGGGATGCTGGCAAAAGTGCAGGCCAAGGACAAGAGATTCTGCAACCCTTTAGCACTTGATTGATTACATCATATCTGACAATCAGTCAATGGGAAGACACAAAAGGGAGAACATTTGGGGAGGAAAGAGAGAGAACCGGTATGTTGAGAGCACTGGTAACTTCTGCTTGGAGCTATTTTTCTCATTTTTTTTGTCATTTGTAATTGTGTGTGTGACTTCTTCCTGCAGCTTCGAATAACTTTATGGACTTACTTTCAACAGAGCTCAGCATTGGAAGTAAACAACAAATTTGCACTGCTGTACAAGCTGTCGGATGGGGAGCAACTGGGTTCTTGAACGTGAGACTCTACATACTCTCTTTTCTAACCCAGAGAATTGTAGTCTGAACTTGTGGAACTTGGTAAAGAAGGAAGTTGGTAAACATCTCAGTATTGACGTATTATGGACAGAATTTTGTATATAACTGATCTCACGGTGAGTAGGAGGGGTTTTTAAAGTTGTCATTCACTCATGCTCTTTGTGAATTCTTACTCGGGTCCCTAGTCGGAGAGCCATAGGCTCATTGTCACAGTGTCATTATTCACGGGGTTGCCGAGTCTCCTTATTCACTCTTTGCCAATGTATTATAGACTAAACTTTTTATATAATTGATCTCACAGCTTTACACAAACTTATCGGGAGTTTGTAGTGGGGGGCACATTTGTAAGTAGTACACTAAATGCTACTATTGATTTGTAAAAAAGAAGGTTGAAGGTGAGCTCTGTAGTTAAGGTATTTTAAGTTAATTTCACAATGAATCTGGAGGCAAGAGCCCCTTCTCTCTTTCAAAATCCTCCTGTTGTCTCCCTCTCACTCTCTGGTAAGAGTGTGCCAGATTGCAGGCATTTTGGGGCATGTCCAGCTGTGGAGTGGGAAAGCCACAACATGGAATCCTCAACATGGGTCATAAAAAACAAGCTTGAGGCATCCACTAAACCTAGGGACCAACTGAAGCAAAACTCCGAAATTATAGACTTCGAAAGAGAGAACACTAAACACCCCTCTGCCATACCATGCCATACTTCAGGATTTTCTGCCATAGCTGTTGCTTTAGCAAATTCACACATTTGACAGGGCAAAATAATCAAGACAGTTAGCAGCTGGGGGTCACAGTGTCACATCTGTATTTTTCACCTACTAAAGAGAGGTTGTATAATGTGACACCGGGCATTCAAAATCAGGTAATACCCAGTTGCTGGTGCCAAAGAGCTGCAGGGAAGTATTTTTTCATGCAGCTTACAACAATCACATGGCTGGGCATTTAGAATAGTTCCAAAAGTCCCCATTGTGCTTACTGCCATTAATTAAGGTTTACACCAAAACCTCAAAAGTGTTTTTAGATGTCCGTTCAAGAGGACACTACATATACATGTGTTACGTCCCTGAGAGGGGGAATGATAGAGAATTTTAGTTTCAAACAAACACAGGACACGATGCGCGCTGCTCACAGCTGCATCACTTTATAAGTGATGCAAGCTAAACATGCATTCTCTAGGTTCCCGCGCTCAGTCCGAACTAATCGCACATCGATCACAGGCTCGACCAATCGATTACACAGTAATGGTTCATATAGAGAAACACAGTATTTTTTAACAGTATCAAAACAGTTAGAAACATACTTTTTCTTTCTTTCCTTCTTTTAACAGATTCTTCTTCTTCTTTTTTTTTTTTAAGCGCGTCACCCCCACAGAACCTCTGTTTCCTTTACAAAAAGTCCTTCAAGCCTCCACTAGGTTTTTTCCATTTGAATAACTGTATGGGCAAAAGGCCCAGAACATCCATTTGTGAGTACTGGAAGGAGGGATTTTGGAGAAGCAGCAATGAAATTCAGTACTTTCTGGACCTGAAATCAAAACTCCATGTACTGAGTAAGAAAGTGCAGAAGCACTAGTAGTTATTAACCCCGGTAAATGTCAAAATGATTTATGAGTTATGCGTGACATCACATGTGAAATATGTAAAGTATTTTCCCAGGGGGTTGGTGTGTGTAAAATGTAAACACTAGTTATATGACGTCACATGTCAAAATTGCAACTAATTTTCCCAGGAGGTGATGTGTGTAAAAACTGTGAACAACTAATGTAGGTTGTAAAGAATTTTTTTTTTTTTTCCGGTGATAAAATGTTCAATTTTCCCCAGGGTGTGTGTTGGGTGGGGTGGCAAGCGTGAGCAAATTTTCCCCCTCTTGAGAAGTGTTAATGAAAAAAAAGATGTGAATTTTGTGTAAAAGTTTAAAGGGGTGTGAAAAATTAAGAGTAAGGATGAAGATGCAAGGACTTACCGTCGGTGGGGTGTGGTGGGGTGG